AATCCAAAGCTTATATTTTGCAATGGAAAAATCAATAGCACACTAAGCTCTGTAACAACCCATGATGAAATGCTAAGACTATCACAAAAGCAAAAGGGGAAAAAAAAAAAACAAGAAGGAAGGTCAATTTTTCCGATGGAAGGAAGATAAATTTTGCAATGAATTATATCAACAAAAATGATGACCCTAGGTAGTGGCGAAGCCACGTTGGCTTGCGGGGGGTGGGCGCACCTCACTTTAATGTGGGAAAAATTACAAATGGGACATGGAAAATTTTCAACTGGTACCCTTTACTTTTGATATTTTACCCCCTTTGAAATAAATAAAAAAATATTCAGATTCAAAAACTTATTAGATATACAATATTTTAATAATTAATTAGATAAGATATGAAGAGCATATTTATAATAAAAAATTATATCAACTTATTCAATATAATTTTTAAAATGAAAAATAATGATAAATCTAATTATATTATTATAACTTTGATCCTAGCATAATAATTATTATTTTTAAAAAATATTAATTTTTTTATTAAATTACTCTATACCTCCAAACTCAGGATCCTAGCTCTGCTACTAAATCCTTAGAAGATATTGGATTTGGAGTTATAATCTACCATGTTGGAATATTTTCAAAATGAAGAGATTTTTTTTTTTTGAAGGCCATGTCCTTTTGAAAAGTCATGTCCTTATAAGTTAAGAAGTTATGTCCTTGTAAATTAAGAAATATTTTTATGAAAATTTATGTAGAGAATTATAGCCACCAATGTCATGTCTCTCTAAATTCTAAAGGCACTTTTAGAGAGTTATAAAACTAAAAGGTATCACTTGGTGAAAGAAAATATATTTTAAGAAAACTCTACATATTAAAAGGATATTTTTTTAATGGAAAGTTATTATAAATAACCCTCGGTTAATCTTAATTATTAAACTATGTAGGTTCATAAATTAATACAAGATATTTCATGAACCAATATAAGAGTTGTAAACCAACATTGGTTGTAACTTTTAAGAAGAGTTTTATTACCTAAAAGGTATCACTTCAAAGCATCACTTCATTATCTATAAATACCCCTCACCATCACTCATTTGGGACATATAAAAAAGAGCTCCAATTTTGATTGAAACTAATTGCCTTTATTCTTTCAGTGTACTAAAGATAGTGTTAAATCATTACTTTGTAAAAACTATTGTTGTCTTGGCTTGAGTCTTGGTAATACAAACCATACTCAAGGGCCTTCATTGTATTCTAAAAGAAATTCACTATCAACCCAACTTATACTTGAAAACTAGAATAGGTGGGGGTAAATTAAGCCTAAAGGAAAATGTTGCTCACACCTTCAAAATGACGTGCACAACTTTCTTCTTCATTTCTACTTCTTTTGTTCTTCAAAGAGCCCTCCCTGCCAACATACAATACTTTTATATTCTTTTTAGGAATAAAAATTCCCTTCACAAGCTCAAGGCATGTGGAAAGGCAAATTGTTTTCAAGTTAGATTGAAATGTTAAAAAAAAAAAAAGGGCAAGCTAACCCACCAACTCATGGGTTAGCCCATTGTGGGTTTAAGTTATGTGGTATGAGTCAAAACCACCTCATATCTAAATGAACATGTTTTTTTCTAATCCAACCCACCACTTTTTTTACAGGTTGGAGGGTTGAGCCCGCGGCTCAACTCATATTATTAGCTTTACTCAAATGTGATTAATCTAGCTAATCTTTAATTGTTCTCTACCCCATAACAACAAGGCATATTTGAATAACTTTTTATATTCTTCTTAGTAATAATCTATTATAAAAAATCTTATTAGTAACTCTTTTTTATAACAATAAAAACCTAAACACTAGGTAAAATCACAATAAATCCTTGTCAAAAAGTCATTAGAGCTTAGCAAATAGAGTAGGCACCATGTGTATACTAAGCCAGACAACAAATATGCAATGTCTCAAGTAGTTTGTAATGCCATTTGAATCTCGTAATATCTATACAACTTTAACATTTTAATGCCATTTATGTATTTGCATATAAGTAAGTACTTATGTATAACTTAGCCTAATTATAATTGAAAGTAATCATCTACTAATATTTTAATAATATCATATTAAAATACTAGCTTAATAAGATCATTATTAAAAAAGATGAGCTATATATGTCTAAAAAAGATTATGTATAATACAAAATTAAAAATAATTTAATAATTAAACTTAATAGATCGTCATTATTATCTCTTTTATTTCTTGATCCTGTATATCATTTATTTCTCATTCTATATATACAATAAAAAAATTAATTTCATAAATATCTTTTGAATGATTTTATTTAATTTTAAATTTTTGAATAATTGATAAGAAAATTTTTTTTAATAATAATTTTATAAATTGTTTTATATAATTTAATTTTTTAAAAAAATATTTTTAGTGGTAACAAATATTACTATAAAAAATAATTATATAAATTATTTTTAATTTTTAAATTATTTTATAAAAATATTTTTTATGGCAACAAAATGTCACTATTTTTTTTAGCAATTTTTTAAAGTTGCTATCAAAAATCAAGTTTTGGTGATGACATAATGTCACCATCAAAGGTCAACTTTTGATAGTGACAATTAATTGTTACTACCAAAAGTAAATCTTTGATGGTGACTTTTAACAATTGTGTCACACCTCGATACTAAATGTGTGACCGGTATAAAATATGAGATGAACTTATATATCGTAAGTCTTGACTAATTAGAAATTAAGCTAAGTTATTGTTATATGTAAATTATACATAACAATAAAGTTTGTAAAGCTTTAAGCGTTTTGTGGAAATTTCAGTAAAGTCCTCGTTATAATTTGGACCTTTTAAATTTTCACAATAACAAAACCTGTCAACCAAACCAGCAAAGAGATTAACTCCATTCTAGCAATTTACATAATAATAAAATAAGACTAGGACCTAACTATAGTATACATGGAGCACTAAGCTATGATTACAAAATATAATACATAGTTTTACCAAAATAATAATCACAATATGCCTCTTTTCCAAAAAAGAAAAATAGCCCCTTAATGATCTGTTAGAGGCATAGAGTCAACTACAATATCTGAGACCAAAGAAATTACCAGTGAGTGACATTCTAATAAAAATTATAATAAAAAATATATAGAGATAATAAATAATAAATTATGCTCAAAGTGACTTAATGAAATAATGTATCGTATACTTAAGCTAGAAACAAATAATAATTTTTCTCAATAATATAATTGTGAAAATTAAACATTGCTAGCAAAATCACATAAATGTATTAATTTTAAATTTTTTTTACTATTCATAAAATATAAAATTTTCAATAATAGTGCAGTTCGATAAAGTACTTTCAGAGAATTACAAGAGAATGATAAATTTTAACTTAAATTTAGGGATGCTTTATTAGAATGAATAACAAGAGTGAACACATAGTCTATAAGGATAAATAATCAATCAAGCATGGACACACAGTCCACGACGGTAAATAACCAATCAAGTGCAGTTAAAAGTCATGAAACAAGTGCAGTAGGAGCCACGAATCAAGCTTAGGCATGAAGCCTATGAAAACAAGCATAGGTATGATGCTCATGAATAAGCATCCCTCCGTTCCACGTGCATTGGCCATCACACAAGGCTAGCACCTCCTATAAGCATTCTACTAGCTAAGTGTACCATGGCACGTTAAGGGCTAGTGGAATTGTCATTATCCAACATTATGAACTCAGCCCTTCTCAATAAAATCAAGTATGTATGGAGTAAAAAAAATAATTTCAAAATTTTTTCTTTCAAACATCGTTCAACTATCATTTTTATTTGTCTAAAATTTTTATCATTTTCCCCATATATGAATCGTTGCATTGCAAATGTTTATATCTACATAGAATTAAATATTTAAACTATTTTTGAGAAATAATATCATTTATCATACATTTGTTTCAATCATTTCTTATTAACAACATAAATTTTCAATAAGATCAACATAATTGCATTAATAAAACAATTATTGGAAAAATAGGAAAAACAAGAATATTTGTATAATTTATAAATGAATAATAGTAAAATTTAATTAAAGAGATCTTATAAACACTTTTTTAGAAATTGATTTGAAATGCTACCCACTCACCTGAGCTTCAAAAAATCTTATAGTCAGGCTTCCTCAATTTCTTGCTTACTCCAATGATGCCCCCAAATTAGTCTAGGATAAAAACCAATATATTTTATGCCACAAAATTCCTTTCTTATAATAAACAAACAGAATTAACATTTAAAATCTATGCTAAGTCCTAAAATTTCTCATTAATCCCTTAAATCTTCAATAACCCTTCAACAACTTCTATCAAATAGTTAATAATATTAGGAAAGATTTAACCATCACCATTAACACTACTCTTATTCCAAACTTAACAAAATCTTGATCATCATTTAGTTTAATAATTTTCCTTTAGATGCTGTACAATTCTAATAGGTAGATCAACTTTTCAATTTATGTGAAGACATACTTTTTCAAGCAGCATATGAAAATTAGTAGTCATATCTCCTTCAAATTTCATGTTGAAATACTTTAAAACATAATATAAACCAAATTATAAACAACTTCATAATTTGAAAGCAATAATTTAGATAGCACTGTCTTCATTTGTGTTCCAAGTATACTTGAGTGAATTAAATTATTTGACAAAACTTAATTCATCCTTATACCTTCTTATAACCCATTCTTAATCATAAATTATAATAAATCATGTCAATTATTATTATGCTTCCTTCAAAGTTAATAAAGTGCCATATAAAAATCTTACGCAATCCCTACTCCTCATTTGATATTTTAAAATTTCAATCTTTAGCTAAAGCCTCTATGACAATTAAACATATTGAGGGCATTCATCAAAGTTCAGTTCACAGTAGGCATTTAAAAAATTTAACCAACTACCACATCAACTCTATCTTCAGTATTCAACTCATCACCAAGTTAAAATAGTAATACGCAGCACCAACCAAAATATAGCTTAATTTCCTCAAAATTATGACAGCAAACCTAAGGAGCAGGAACGTCGCACTCTACGGCCAGAGGAAGAAGAGAAAGGATGATCACTCTGCTTTTGAATCCAAAGGAGAAGAAGAAAGCATCAACATCTTACCCCAAATAGAAGTGCAGTAGTAACAGCCACTCCTCAGCTCATTGACTACACTGAACGATAAGAGATGAGTTCTACTCAGCTGCTTAACGGGAAGAAGAAGCAGAATATCAGACCGGAAAGAGGAAGGATTTGAGCTTTCTAGGCAAACGCACACGCAAGTCCAGCAGCTGAGGAGGAAGAAAAAGAAGGACTGGGCACGCACACACCCATAAACCTCTGTCAGTCACAAACAAAGCAGAAACAAAGAAGAGATTCAGTTATTCCACCTAACAGAGATGGACGAACAGCGACGAAAGAGACGGACACTTACCAGCGGCGAGTAGACGAGCAAAGCAATGAAGAGATTGAAGCCTATGCGATGGGAAATGAGAAGAAAGAAAACAGAGACAGAAGCGAACGCTCTGCACTCTGTTCTGCGACTTTTTGCAGTGTACAGATAAAATCTGAAATTGGTTTTAAATTTAGAGACAACTTTAATTTAAAAAAAAAATTCTATAACAAATAGATGGATTCAGAGATAGTTTATATCCATTACAAAATTGTCTCCAAATCCAACTCAAATTCTATCTTTATGCATTGAAAATATAATTTAATTTAAAAAAAACTTAGAAATAAGAGTTTAGAGATGAATAAATTCTATTTCTATACTAGTCATGTCAAAATCTGTCTCCAATACCAATTCCAAACCTTTTTAATTTTTTATTTAGAGACTAAATTTGAGATTTTTTTTTTTGATGAATTTGGAGACATAAACATAGTCATCTAATTTAGAAATAAAATTAGAGACGGTTGAAATAAATATGTGAATTAGGAACTAATTTTTGTTGTCATATACGTTTCTTATTCAAATTAAAGATGGATTTATGGACAACTTCTATTTTTTTTAGTTTTATATTTTTAGACTATTAATTGTTTGGACACATGTGTAAGGGATATTAAGATGCAAATTTTCAAAGGAATTGTAGAGAACGTTCAATCGTTATTTAGTGAGCTTCAACACTAATGTTGAACACAAGAAGTTCTAGCTCAATACGCATTCAAGATATTCAATAATTATATTAGGGATTTATGGAGTGCTCGAAGATGTTTAACATATCGTCTAACTCTCCCCCCTCTCCCTTATGCTTTTAGTCTAACATTCCCCATTTTCTAGATTCCTATTTATTATTCTTTAATTTAATTCTTTTTTTGACAAATTCTTTAATTGGATCCTTAACCATAAATGATTAAAGTTATATATAGTGGTTATTCATATTTTTCTTCAATATAACATTTAATAATTTTTTTTACTAAATCACAAAATTGTTACGCACAAAAAATATTTTATATCCAATTATTAATATAAGAAAATAAAAAATTCATATACTCCAAAACATATATGAAATTTAATATTAAGAAGAATTAATGAAAATCAATTTTTATTGAAATTACTATAAACAATATTTATATGGTTAGAATTAAATATTTTAATCTAAATACCAGTTTAAGAGATAATTCTAATAATTTTCATTTTTAACATAGAAAGGGGAAAAGAAAAATCATTTTAGGAGTAGAAAAAAATTGATTAATTAATTATTAATCTTGATTTTTTTGGAGAATATAAAATTCAAATTCAAACTTTTTTTTTAATTTGACGTTACATTATAAAATTGTAGATTCTTGTTGTTAACATATTATTTTATATAACTTTGGGATTGAATTTAAAATTTTCAAATAATTTAAATTTTAATTAATATATGTTAATCATATATGTAATATAATTTATTATATAATATATAATATTATGTATATAAAGTATACAATGTACTATCTGTTTAGTCTAAGATATAAATTTTGAGCCAAGCTCACATCAAGTTTCTGGCAGGAGAGAAGTTACTTAGCTTGCAAGAGAGAATAATGGATGCACTACTTCAAAAATAGGAGGAAAAGAAGGAAGTTCGGAGAAAAGGTTGGTAATGGCCCTATAAACATGAAATATGGAATTATGAGAAAAACCACCCTTTTGCTTATAAAAAGGGAAGCAAGACACACGTATCAGTCTCTGTTCACTGTCAAAACATTGCCACATTACGTGCACGGGTCATCACAAGTAGTAGAGTTTTTCAAAGATATTGTTCACATGAGGATGAAGTGAAAGAGAGTTAAAAATTACTATCAAGCCTTGGATTAGATTGGGCAAAATTAAGAACAAAGTTTGTGTAAAAGTAATGAGAATAAAGTAAAAAATGTTTTTAAACAAGTGATAATTGGTTGAAACTTTGAATTCAAGAAAATGGGAATTTATTAAGACCCAAAAAGTAAATTCCTCTCAACAAGATTTTTAATAAAAATAAATGTTGGTTTAATATTTTAAGTTACTTGAAAAAGCTTTCTCAAATCAAAATCAAGTCAACTTAATTTTGATGAAAATAAGTGCTAGCATTAAAATTCTCAATCTCTTGAAAAATAATTAATAAAAACAAATTTTAAGCATTAATTTTAACTTGACTATGAAGGGTTAGTAAAATATCTCTATTTTACTAACAAAACTATTTATTTATCTTTGTAAACGTCAAGTCCAACACTATTTTATTCAAGTTCTATATTTAAGTTAATTTTGGCATAGCCCAAATGAACACCAACAATCCAAATGGCAATCAAATGCTTAAAAGCATTAAGTAAAGGATAAAAGAAATACACACACACACACACATCATTACCTATTAAAAGAGAGGAGTAAGCAAGTCATAATCCATACAAAAGTTCAAAATAATCGTAGAACAATAAAACTAGCTACTCATGTCTAGAAAAGAGCAAGGAATATCCAAATACATATTCAACACCTATATCAAAAACAAAGAGATGAAAAGGGAAAAGAAACATAAAAACCAAAGGAAATCCACTTGAATCTCTTAAAATATTCAATCCTTGGATTAACATCTTTCAAGAATCCTGAACATTAGATAAACTTGAGCCCCAAGATCTCTAGAATTTGTGTGTGCGCGCTCATGCGTGTGTGCTTTTATGAAGGCTTGGAAATGAGCTTATAAAACCCTATTTTTTGCTTGAGCAATCAAAATGCATAGTAGTACTTTTGTGCCATCTACCACAGCTAACTACCCATGAGCCATGACATACAGCACATGCACCACAATGTACATGTAGGTTGAATTATTCCCCCTCTATGTCATGTGCTATGGTAGAATGTGTATGCATTATGGCACATGATGTAGAGGGACAATCTTATTTTTGGTACACTATTTGCTCCAATTATCACTCTCCATTATTTAGCATGCTTATCCATTAGAGGTCACATAAAACAACATAAACAAACATGAGAATTTTCAAAGACAAAATTAAGGCAAGATTTTAACAAAAAATTTCCAATAAATACTATCACCAAAGCTCAGTTCAACCAAAGCCCATTTTTCTATATTTGTGTACAAAATATTTACATTTGAACTAAAAAGTACATGGACATGTAGGAAAATATGTGGAAATGACATAAATTTCTATAGGTTAATAGTCTCTCTCCAATTTCTTCAACACATCAAGTGACAATTAGACATGGACACTTTCCTCGATAGTATTAAATGTAGCAATTAGTGTTCTGCATAAAGTCCCATCCAAAATCATTTTCAAGTCTGCGAGAAAATCATCACTATTAAAATATAGTTTTCATTCTCAATATTAAACTTGCATGGATAGTTTTAAGTATCAAGATTGCTCTTTCTATTTTCTTTGATGCCATCTGTTCTTTTATGGGCTTGTTTGATAGCATCCCACATTTCTTTTGTAGTGGTATAGTGAGTCACATACTAGCACTCTATTTGATTGATGCATAACCTATTGTAAGTTTTGCCTTGGTGTTAAAGTTGACTAGATGCTGGTCTTCATCATTCCATTCCTCTGGAATATACAAGAGCACTCCCATAGGCGTAACAAAATTTGAGAGGTATGAAGGCTTTCGGGAGCCTTTTTACTCAAAAGTGCTCCTCTAGCTTGTCCCGATAGGAGCGCTTCATGGCTAGAGTGCTCCTGTAGATACAGAAGCGCTCCTCCTAAAAGCGCTCCTATTTACCTCATTTATTAGTTTTTCTTTAAAAAAATTGATTTTGCTTTACATTGTTATCCATAATATGCAAAAGTTGAACGCCACAACAAAATGAAAAATACATTTCCATGAAAAAAAAAATACAATGTTCTAGTAAATTTTGTAGCTACAATCTCAATTAACTACTCTAACCGAAAAATCAGTAAAATTTTTTTTAATGTAATCTAATAATCTAAACATTATATTACAATCAAAAAAATTATTCATGTGAAAAAAAATTGCCTCCAACAATTACGTCAAGCTACAAAAAATAAGAGATATCATGTAGTATACGTGTAACATTTTAAATTCTATTTCAACCAATTATGACAAAACCCATATAAATCAAGGTTCTTTGCTGTTTCTTATACAACATGTAATATTAAAATTTTATTTTTTCTTTGATTCTTCAATTTTTTATATCATGTAATATTTAAATCTTTGGTTTTGTCATAAAATATTAAAATAATTACAAGCACATATCTAATCACAAAATATCTTTTTTTTCCACGAATTTTCCTATTGTTGCATATTTGTATCACATACATGGATCTTAATGTTTCTTATGAGTTTGATCATCCAAATGATAAGAATACACCGGTAACTAACAATTGACATAATTAATGGAGAAAAAGGCGGGCTGCATAATATAATAATAAACAAATTCATTGATATGTTGACTCGCGTCAACCAAATGTAGAACTGTGAAATATAGGTCCTCAAAAATAATCTTGTCAAGTTACCTGATAATACAAAGTAAAGAAAATTAAGACACATAAACTCTAAAGCTTTATGTGTCTAACAAAGTAACCGTTAAAGAGAACTTCATTGATAAAGGCAAAGAACACATACGCAAAGAGAGTGAAAGAATAATGTCAAAAATTCAAGATCACTGAAAATGTATAAACCAAATTCAAGAAAATAATTTGGCTACCAAGAAAATAATTTCTAAATGTCCCTCCCATGACTCAATATTGCACAGCAACTAAGAGGAGCATAAGTTTAAATGTATTATCCAAATTCAAGAAAATAATTTGGCCACCAAGAAACTGTGCCACGTGATTCAGATTTATGATTGCACTACTACAAAATAAGTTTACAGGAGTACTTTTTTTTAGCTTCAGGGAGCGCTTCAAAAGCGCTCCCATATCAAGAGCTCTAAAATATATGAGAGTGCTTTACAAAGCGCTCCTGTATGTTTTAGATATAGGAGCACTGTTAACAAGGCGGTCACAAAAAGTGCTCCCATATATGTAAATAAAAAAGCATAAAAATGGCCTACGGGAGCAGTCGTTATATGAGCGCTCCTGTAGAATTGACATACAGGAGTGCTCTTCTAAAGAGGGCTCCTATATGTCAATATATGGGAGCGCTCTTGTATATCAATATACAGGAGTGCTCTTGAAATGCGAGGACCTATATTTAAACTCACAACTTTCTTATTTTAAAGCATGATAAAAGTATTAGATAAAGCATGATAAAAGTGATGGTTAATTCACTACTAGAAAAAGTTAGATTAGCGAGGAAGTTTAGCGAGGACTTATGTATTCCTCTCTAAATAGTTATATTAGCGAGGAATTTTGTGAGGAAATTTAATTTCCTCTCTGAGAAAGTATTTAGCAAGGAACTTTAATGAGGGGTAACATATTCCTCTCTAATTTGCCTAATTAGCGAGGAAAATTAGCCAAAAATACTATAGCCCCTCTCTAAATATTTAAACAGCGAGGAAATTAGTGAGGGATGATTGTTCCTCTCTAAAAAGTTAATAACAAGATAAAAAATGATAATAATTAAAAAGGTTCTAACTTTGTATTTTTTTTTAAAAAAAAATGTACTTAATTTACCAAATTATTATTTTATACTATCTTAAAAATTAGTCAGTATATTATTTTATAATATTTTAAAAATATTTTCTAAAAATTTATAATACCTTTACCTTCTATATAATTGTTTTAAAAAATTATAATATCTTATATATAATTTTTTTTCTTTATAAGATCTCTTATATAAAAATATTTTTTTAAAAAATATATTCCATCTACAATTTTGTATCCCTCTAATTTTTTTCAGACCTAATTCTATTCCCTCCATTTTTTTTTTTCACATGGACCTAACCCTCTCATTTTCATCGTGCGCTCCCCGTCCCTCAGTCATCAAGCGCACACTCAAACCGCAGACATGAAGAGACGCAGGCACTCAAGTGAGGATGTGCAGGTGAGAACACCCAGTGTAAATCACTCCATTGTAGCTGATTTTTTTCTTTAATCTAACCTCATTATTAACTTCATCTCCCAAATCATCGAGGTGCAGCAGTGTTGGCACTGTGTTGCTATCGCTTTTCCAGTTGCCGTCACCGTTCCAATTGCTGAAGGGAGAACTTCTCTTTCACCAGGTTTTTATATGATTCAAACTATTGTGTGGCTTGTTTTGCTCTTCCTAAGTCTTGATGAATTGTTCTGTTCTTCTAATTGTTGCAAAGAGATTTAATGGTTGGTGTTAGTTTGGCTGTCGGCATTTCATTCCTATTCGCAAATCTCATAAGCTTGGTTTTGATGTTTTGAGTCTCTTTAAGCCTCTTGCTTTCCTTTATATGATTAATCTGATCAAAGGAACAAAATGTATCCATTGGAATGCTAATTTTGTGTCTCTACATTTTATGTCATGTGCAGCTCATGCTCAATCTTCTGCCCCTTACATATACTGCTTACTCGAATGAGGAACTTGCATTCTTAACTCAAGTTTTCTGTTTCTGTGGACCGTGGGTGAATTGAGTAAACCAGGGACTCTGAACCATACATTCTCACTCGTTTAGTTGCCACTTTGGCAATTGTGGTAAGCAACAGCATTTGACTATTACTAAATACACACTTAAATATGTTCTCTGTTTAATGTCTGATAGATTGAAACTCATTTATTTTGCCTTAATGCCGCCCTAGTTCCTACTCATCACCATAATAAATACTACTACAGGATGTGGATTCCCTCTCGTGGTGTTTGATACTTGAAAAAGGAAGATTTTGATACTTGAACATATTAATCTAGATGTCACAATTCTAATGAGACAAAAGTGGATGCATTTGCTTTATGATCAAATGGATTCTGAGTTATCATTTTCTTTCTTCTCTGTTTTTTAAATTTGTGTATAAGCTATTCTTCATGCTTCATGGTGGAATTAGTATCGAATCTGTGGTTCTAACTGGAAAAGTTGATGTGTCACGTTGACATGAGATCCATTCTGTCCTTTTAGTAATTTGCTTGTGAATTTTTTGCTTCAATAGAGAATTTAGATGAAATAACCTGATCAAAAAATTTGGTTTGTTATTATTTGAGGTAGATGGTAATAATTATTCTCTCTTCCAGTTAATTGATCAGACTTTTGGCACTTATTTTGTCCACTTACTAAGAATTCCTGATGTGCCAATCTAACTATTGTATCAGTGTTGTTTACTTATTTAGTTATTTTCAATATATAGTTGATAGATGCAACCTATACCATGTCATAAGTTCATGCCTTAAATTGTACATGATTTAGTAGTAGTTGTTGGTAAATTTTGTCTTGGGAAACTTAAATTTTTGCACCCCTAAACTTAGTCCTAATTGTCTATTTTTCTTTTTTTTTTTTGGAACATAGAGGAATGATGAATGATAGAAGTTGGATGTACAATAGACAAGATCAGAGTAGAAAGGGGTTAACTGAAAAATTCATAAGTGGCGTAGATGAGTTTATAGAGTTTAAAGAGGAAGATAGTGAAGAGGAGAATGATGAAATTGCTCAATATGATAGTGAGGATAATGATGATGATGAATCAAGTTGACTAAAATTTGCATGATGAGCTTTTATGCTATCTTGTGCTTTGGTTAGCAAAAAAATTGCATGATGAGCTTTTCTGTTTCAAGGGTTCAAATATATATATATATATATATATATTCATGGCCTACCACTGTTGTTTAGGCTTTTAGGATTCAGGAACTTTACCAATGGCCAGTAGCTTACATATGCACTTCCTTTTCTATTTGATAATGGGAAATGTATATCATAATATATTAGTGCATATACAACTTTTTAAGCAATTAGTTAATGACTGGAAACCTACAAAAACAGGTTTAACTAACTGATATGAAAAATGATAAGCATTAATCCGCTTATTTTTTCTGCTTTGAAAATGTCTTTGGTTGGGTTTATTGTTCCCCGAGTATGCTTATAGAGTTCAAGATAAGAAAAATATATATAAGATTTATAGATATATGAGTGATGAAAGCATGCGGGTGAATGATGAATAGGCACTAGTTAGCATGTTTAGCATATCAAGTGGAGCATTTATGATAGCAAAAGTTAATAAAGTTGAGTGTTAAATCTTGTACATGAAAATAATAATTAATAAATACATTGTTATATGTAAAAATAGGTATTAGTATTTTATATATGAAACTGCGATGTAGATTACGTAAACCATTAATTTATTGCAGCAGTTTTTCCAAAATCTCTGCTTCACATATTACTTGTATCATACAACCACAGATTCATTTCAGCATTTGGTGGGACTTTTGGGTACAAGAATGGTTATGGCTTATGAGAGACTTAGCAGTGATTTTCCCAAGAATCTTTAATGCTATATATGTACTAAGTATTTATCACACGTAGATAGGCATGGCTGGGTGGAACCCCACACCTTTGTCTGATGCTCCATTTTTATTTTATAGTTCCTTAATTCTTTATTGAGCAACATGGAGAATTTGAGAATGTTGCAAAGTTTGAAAATGAAAATGGAGGCCAAGATGTAAATGTTGATGATGGAAACTTCATTGAAGCTCAAGCTTCTCTCTCTCAAGATTAGGTGGCTCAAGCATGGTTGAAGGCAATTGGTTGGATGACGAAGACCAATAAAGTTTATGGACTTGAATTACATGCTGCTATGATATGTGTAAATCATGACAAGACTACTTGTAAGATTAATATTGTTCATCGTACTCCTCCACATCCTACACCAAATGTAGGAGATGTTGTTAACATATTGAACCATTATGTTGTGACTTTTTATATATGATTAATAGATTGAACCATTTATGTTATATTGTATACTTTATATTTCATTTTCTAATCAATTGCTTGATTGAACTTGATTTATTTATGATCAAAATTTTAATTCTTATAAAACAAATGTGCAATTGAGTGAGGAATTAGTTCCTCTCCAATTAAATTGATTTGCAAGGTATTAGCGAGGAATTAATTCCTCTTCAATTAAACCGATTTTGCGAGGAATTAGAGAGGAATTAATTCCTCTCCAATTAGCAAGGATAGAGTTCCTCGCTAAAAGACCTAGCTAAAAAAATAGGATTAGTGAGAAATTAGCAAGGAATTTTAGTTCCTCGCTAAATTTAGAGAGGCAATAAAGTCCTCACTATTTCCTCACTAATTAACAAGGAATAAAGTGCTCCTCGCTAAATATTAGCGACCCGCCATTTAGCTACACATTTAGCGAGGAAATTAAATTGATATTAGATAGGAATATAACTGGTTTAGCGAGGAATATGGTCCTTGCTAAATCTTGATTTTCTTGTAGTGATTTTTATTAAAAATTATAAAATAAGTATTAGACAAAGCAAGTGTTACATTTGTACCTAAAAAAAAGTACAAAAAGCAAGAGTCACATAAGTCCAAATTTCCAATTTTCTTCATTGCCTCACAACAACAACAATAGAGCAAATGAACAAAAATTATATTACAACAATAACGACGACGACAAGTCTTATCCCATTGAAAATTATATTAATAGAACTAAATTTAATTTGCTTTACACTAACAAATTTTAATAAATTTTGATATTATTTACATTAGAGAGTGACTTTAGATCATTTGATGGCCCTAAACAATTGTGTGTTGTTAGGGTTTTTGTAAATGAGAGAAGTTTTCTTTTAATAGAGATTTGAATATGTCAAGAATTTAAGAGCGCTCATTTTACAAAGCACTCCTAAAATTCAAAAATAAAAATTTTAAAAAATATATTTAAAAAATATTTTACATTTAGGAGCACTCTCAAAAAGAGCACTCTGAAATTAAATATCAAAAAATAAAAATAAATAAAACACACCATTAGAAGCACTTAATTAAATAAGCACTCCAGTAAGTTTCGCCTCTATTTTTAGTAGCACTTTTTTCATGAGTGCTCCCAAAGATATTTTTTGTAATGGTGTTGGAGACAAGGGTTTGTGTCTAAAGTCAATCTTGCCTCTGTTTTTTTTATTTAAATTCCATCAATTCTAGAATATTTTTGAAGAAGACTGAAAAGGACATAATGTGATTGAGATAGCTGTGCTAATGAATAAGCTAATATGTAAGTTCATAGAATTAAATTCATGTACACTTACTTCTAATATCCCTTGACATACAATCCCTAGGAATCAAGTTCCATACAATCCCTTAACTTTCCTTAAACAGTGATGTGTAATAGTGAACTAATGTCCCTAGGAAGCTGTTGCTATCACAATATATATATATATATATATATTTAAAGCTCATTGGCACTTTCAAAGATAGCATACTGCGACCATTCCCGAGAAACATATACAAGGTATAGACTTTTTTTTTTTTTTGATACATTGAAAATTTTTGAATATTAAATAACATGAACAGAAATTGAATAGAAGCATCATATTTTGGACATAGAATATTTTGTTCAGCATAGAACCCTTTAAATTCAGGCCATACAATATACACAAATATCACAAACAAAATGAGATTAAGATTCAAGGGGAGCATTAGACCGTAGCAGATGAAATCAGGAATTAAATTCTAAATGACTAAAGCATCAAATGTGAAACTCCCGTCCAAAAGAAGTAAAGTATGACAAAGGGCAGCCATTATAGCAATGGAGTTGCAACAAACCATTGATCAAAGTTAGCTCAGAATGGAGACATTGCAATGTTGAATTCATATAACAGGTGTTTCTCAAATTGAATAGACTAGCAATGTGTCCCTAGAAGGCATAAAGAAAATTAGATATTAGAAACAAAAAGGTGTTATTCTCAGTAAATATAAGAAAGCCTCAAATTAAATAATCAGACTCAAAGTACTTTGGATTTGGACAATGAAATCCGCCTCCATACAATATTATTAGAAATATTAATAGATGGCAATAATATGTTATAAGAAAAAATAAACAAAGCTAAATTTCCATCCCTTGGCAGCAACTAGACCCAAAAAACACTTTTAACATCTCCAGTCTGACTAAATTAAGTATTGGGTTAAGGCTATGAGATGTCCAAGGCAAGAAACCATGTTGAACACAACAATTGAAACAGTTGCATTGGAAAGAGAAACTTCTATGATGGAGACGGCTTGACTTCAAGCACATTGTTCATTAAATGTCTAGCGTAACTTCAAAGCTTGATTGCTAAGGCATCATTTTTTTTTTCTTCTCAACTCCCAAGCAACACAGATAGAGTAGTGTGCGTGAGTGAATAGTTACTTTTTAGCACAATTTTATCCTCATTGTTATCCAAAATAACCTACTAAGTGAACAAACAAGGGACCAGCTTCAATCATTTTCTCATATTCAAGATTCACAGAATTTAAAAGATTTACATAAATCAAGCTCAAGCACGTACACGATCCTCCAAAAATTTTAAATCAGATATGGATGATTTCTCTACCTAATGGACAAGGGAATGCCCAACCTACAAATATCCAATGATGTATCTCTTGAATTCATATACGCAGTGTAAATCAGAGTCCAATTGAGTGAAAAATTGAACACCAACAAAAACAGTGAACCTTAAAACATTCAATGAAAGGTGGGAAAAATAAAGACCCAAGTCCAAACAAAAAAAAAGTAAAATAGTTAATAAATGCTAACAAGTACTGCAAGGAGGGAACCGTAAATGTTGGGAGACTACGTCAGGCGAGGTTCTTCAATGGCTTTAGAGGATGCTCCAGCTACTTCGATGACGGAGGGTAATGATGCTGGGTTCTTCGACTTCAAGCATGGAGCAACTTTACGGCATCGACTGTGTGAAGGACAGCACAGACGGAGATTTCTCGATGCAAATATGAGCTACAACAGTGTCGCACAACTAGTCGGTGAACACATGCTGCAGAATCAAAAAGTAACAGCATGATTTGGAGGCCACTAAAGAGGGTCAACCTTGGGACTTCACACTGCTTGAGAGGATGGGAATAGTTGAAAGTGGGAAAGCGAGGAAATAGAAATCACGACTAGCAAAAAAATAATAATAATTTAATCACCTTCTGGAGCGCTTGGAAGCGCTTTGGAAGGTGAAAGCAATGATAACTTATTTGCTTTAGGGTTTCTTTTTTCTTACCTACTAGAGTGCTTAATAATAAGCACTTCCTTAGGCTTATTAATTATTTATTTAATTCTACAGGAGCGCTTTTGGCATAAGCGCTCCAGTAGGTTGATTAGTTTTAAATTTTTTATATTCAATATCTATAGGAGCACTTTTACCAATAACCACTCTTGTACATTGTAGCTTTCAAAAAGTTCTCTTTCCTCATTATTTTTTTGGAGTGCTTTTTTCACAATCACTCTGAAATGAGTGCTCCCATAAGCATATTTTGTAGTAGTGCTCATTCATGAATATGAAACATTTAAGATAAAAGAAGGAGAAACCATTAAGGATATGCTTATCAAATTCACTCATATCATCAATCACCTAATGAATATGGGCAAAACTTACACTCAAATTGAAAAAGTGAGGAAGTTGCTAAAAAGTCTTCTAATAGAATGGCAACAAAAAATAATTGCCATAACAAAAGCACAAGGTGCTTCCATGCATTTAGTTGTAGCTCTCTTTAGGAGCTTAGAAGAGTATAAACCTACCCTTCTTCAATACAAGATATGAATAAGAAAAAGAAGCGAATTGATTTGAAGGCCATAAAAGAGAAGTCTAAGCCAAAATCTGATAAAGATTAAGAGTTTGACACGATGATCAGTTGCTTCAAAAGGTTCTATGAAGGAAAGAAGAACTTCAAGAGAGAATCCTCTAGTAACAATAAGAGAGATAAGAAGGAACCTCTTACATGCTATAAATGTAAGAGGCCAAAACATATCAACTGGAATTGTCCTCAATGGCGAAAGAAGCAAAAGAAGAAATAGAAGTCCCAAAAGAAGAAAGAGATAGCTTTGATAATGAGGAGGAATAGGAAGAGGTGGCTAACATATGTCTCATTGCATAGGAAGAGGATGATCTGGTTAAAACACGTACTCAACTAAAAGAGGTAATAACTGCAAGATGATTTCAATAAGTTATTTTGTCTTCTAAAAACACTTACAAACAATTAACCCTTGCAAAGAAGAAGATTTCTTTTCTTGAAGGTAAGTTGAAAACTACTCCTAAAAATGGAGATTTCTAAAAAAGATAAAAAAAAATCTGATTTGTGTTATCACTACATTGCATTGAAAAATTAGAATGATACTTTGAAAAAGGATTTGGCTAAGTTCACTCATGGTACCGAGATGCATAGGCTCTCAACATTGCATCTCTAATAGGTTGGGTATTAGGCATAATCTCACAACATGTCCCAGAAGATGCTAAAGAGGCCACAAAGTACTATCATAGTTTATTTCAAACCTTTTATCCATTCTTTTAGTCCTTTTATAACTTGTGATTATTGTAACAAGAAGGGCCATCATGTTAAGTCTTGACTTTATAGGAAGAATGGCACAAGTGATGCCTTGTAATGGGATACCAATGTAAAAGAATGGACCCATAAAGAAATGGGTACCTAAAGGGAAATGATCCTAACTTGTATGTATGCCTCACTATCTTAGAAGTAGAAGTGGTATATTGATAGTGGGTCCTCAAGACACATAACTGAGGATATAACTTAGTTCATTGAATTGTTTGATAAAGAAGGAGGTCATGTTAGTTTTGGTGGTGATAAAAAAGGACATATAGCTAGTATTGGCAAAATTGGAGAGGAAAGGAAGTTAGCATAGAAGATGTGCTATATGTCAAAAGGTTGTTCCATAATCTCATTAGTGTTAGCTAGAGCTATGATAAAGGAAACTAAGTCATTTTTAACTTTAAATTTTGTCTTGTACAAAAAAAGT